TATGTCCCATTCCGTGTCCAGCATTTCATCTGGCAGCCCTGATCTTGATCACTGTCTCCACCCATACCCAAGAGCTTTTCTGAAAGCCCCAGGACCTTATCTCTCCCCTCCCCAGTTCTGCCTGCACGCTCATCGCCCCACCCCCTCTGCCATACTACCTCCCATCATTCCAGCCTTGAATATCACCAGCCTGAGGGCCAGTTCTGGCCTGGTAGGGAAAAGCAAGCGCAAAGGCTTGGCACCCACATGCACCTTACCCCTTCGGGAGCAATTCTTGATTTCTCAACCCCCTCCCACAGCCCCACAAAGCGCCCCTCTTGGGTCGGTCCCTGCAGAGGCAACACATGCTTCCTAGGGATACACCCTTAGTCACCTCGACCCTGGGAACCTCCACCTGCGACCCCCTTCAGTCTCTGGGCACACAGTCTCTAAGCGCACCTAGCAGGTGCTGAAAAAACATTTGAGCACGATTTTATGGAGGCAAGTATGGGAGGGGGGAGGGTGTTTGATTTCTCAGCACAACAGCTGCGTTTTCATCCCATGGGAGCACATACTCTCTCTGGGCTTTTGTACCAGCCAACAAAGCAAAATTTCCTTTTATCCTTTCCTTTGGCTTCAAAAAAGTGTAAGATAATAAATCATGGAAACGCTAATAACAGGGGAAAGGTCAACTTCCAGCCTCCTGTGGTCTTGGGCTGGCTGACCCTAGAGTCTCCCTGCCCCCGCTGCTCATCTTTGCTATTCCTATTTATTTACCGTTCTGACACTTGCCTGGACCTGGCTTCTGTTCAGCAGGCCAGGAACACAATCCCTGTGGATCATTTTTTCTAGCACATGTATTCTGGAAATGGGTTAAGAGTCCAGGGGTGAAGAACATCAGAGCGCCTGTTTTTACAGTCACCGTCCTAGCCAGTTCCCTCTGCAGAATCTTTTTTCCCTTATCCTAGGGAGCTTCCAATATATCTAGGGTTCTTACCTATGGAATTGGGTATCTCTTGGGGTAGTAATGCATCAGTTTCCCCTCTCATCAGCCAAACCCAAGTTGCAGGGGGCCCCATATTCCCCTAGGGAAGGCATAAGGTGATTTAGTTAACAGACCACACAGAGCAGAGCAGGACAGTAAACTAGGGTGACATTCCCATACAAGGGATGACTCTAAGGAAGATTCGACGTTTGTCCAGCTCTGAAAGACGATGGGGATGAAGAGGTACAGGAAAGGGCATACTGGCAGGACTGATGCAGAAGCCATGAGGCTGGCCGGGTAGGCTAGACACTGGGTATGGCATGAGTGTAGTGGGCCCTGCAGGGTGACTGTGGAAGGATTGGGACAAAGGTGACTGGGGCCAGTCACCCCAGAGAGGGGCCGGGTCAAGTTCATCCTCTTGGTTCAAGGAGAGGGGCTGGAGTTATACAGGACAAGAATGTGATTAGTCACATGGGTGAGGATGTGATCTGGTGTCAAATTCATGGAAAAAGGGACAGTGGGGACCAGAAGAGGGACTAGAAGGCAAGTGTGCAGGAGAAACGCCCGGTGATGCCTCCCCTCATCAAAGCTGCCTCCTGACAATCCGAGAAACCTGCCTCAGCCTCCCCAGAGGCACAGGGAGCCACCCCCACCCGGTGCCGGGTGACCCCTTCCGTGGAGTCCCTGCGGTTTCTGAAACCCTCCCTCTCCTTCCACTGTGCGGACCCCAGCCTCCCCCCACGCCTTTGTTCTCTTTCCCTCTCTACACTGTCACGGTCACGCTGACGACACCCTCTGAGCTTGCCTCTCACACAATGGAAGGGAGGGGATGTGCAGGTAGTTACTCCCCACCCTGTCCCCGTGGTGTCCCCCACTCCTCTGTTCGGGTCCCCTCAGGCAGACACAGCGGAATCCCAGCCTCCTCAGACACTCCCCAGCCAGAGGAGCTCATTACCTTTCCAGAGATGCTCCTGCTGGAGGCGGGGTGCAGGGGGAGTGCTATTTTTAGAATGAATGGAAGGAAAGAGAGGGGGAAACAATAACAACAAAAAGGTTAGGGGCTGGTAGAAGCCTCATTACTACCAAGAGGGAACCCCCTCACCTTAGGCCGAGATAGATGATGGGTGAGGGGGTCGGAGAGGGGAATGCTAGGACTGACAGGGAGAACTCAGTGGTTTGGGAGGGCACCATGCTTCCTGGGAGCCTTTGGGGACCCTGGAGGAGGTGAAAATCAAAACAGTTAGCAGCCCAAATCCTCCCTAGCAAGAGAGACTCCAGAGGTGGGTGCTGTCTGTTGGTTGGAAGTAACAGGTTCCGAAATCTGCCTGGACAGACCCTAGGTCACTGGAGAGGCTGCGCCCTGGGTGTCTGTCTTTCTGTGTCTCCCTCTCTGTCTCCCCCATCTCTGTCTCTGTCTCTGTCTCTGTCTCTGTCTCTGTCTCTCTCTCTCTCTCTCTCTCTCTCTCTCTCTCTCTCACACACACACACTCTCTCTCTCTCTCTCTCTCTCTCACACACACACACACACACAAACACACACACACTAAAGACCAAACCCCAGGAGCCACATTGTTTTAATCTGGCCAGTGACTTTCACAGTGTCCCACCCACCCACCCATTCAAGTTTAGCAGCCCCCCCCACCCCCCAGGGCGAGGAGATAGGAGAAGTCTCCTCCACCGGTGAGACTGTGAAGTTTTCTGTAGCTTGTCATCAAGCCACTGAGGTCCTCTTCCCTCACTGGCACCTTCCATCCCAGCATCAGCATCAGCTGGTGGAAGCCTGTGGGATTCCGCGGAACCCCCAGACCTCAGAACTGGCTCAGGGCTGGGGGCTGGGGGCTTAATTGTTCCCTTTCCCTCTCCTTCCTGGACGCTGGAAAGCCGTCCCCATAATGAGGGGGCAGCTATTTTTGCGCTCCTATACTCTGGGTCCTGACGCGGGAACCCCCACTCTGGGTCTGCTTCCGTCTGTGTGAGGAGTGCTGGGGTGCGGCGGCGACAGAGGGTCCTTTTGGAGCGCTGTTTCAGATTTGCAGTCACGCCCCTAGGGGGAGGGGGCTTGTGCTAGACCAGGGACCGGGACTCCCTCCCCACCTTCCCGAGAAGCAGTGCTGGGTGGAGGTCGGGCTGTGGCCGCCACCCGGCCCCTCTCCCTTCGCGGGGTCAGCGCTCCCCCCCGGGTGTCGGGGCGGGGCCCAGGGCGACGAGGAGGGGGTCAGCTCTGCGGCGGCGCGCGCACACCCTCCTGCTCACGCCCTTGCCCGGCGGTGCACTTGTCTTCGCGCGCGGGCCAGTCGCTGGGGCTCCTGCTGCTGCGGCCGCCGGCCGGTGAGTAGGCTGGGAGGGGTCACTGGGCGGAGGTGTCCGCCTGCCCCTCTCCTGGGGCGGGGGGTGCATCGGCCAGGGTTTGCCTGTCTTGGGGGCATTCAAAGGGGAATGCTAAGGGAGGGTGCGAGGGAGAACCCCTTCCCTTCCCCCTCCCAACACACAACACATACCGGGGTCAGCTCCAGAGCCCTCCAAGCACACCCCGCTGATGAAGGGGCTTCTGCTCCTGCAATTTGAGATCTGGAGACATTCTCCCACCGGGTGAGGGTGGGAACATGGGGGCCCTCAGTGCTGCCCTTAGTGGAGGGAGTAAGGGAAGGACTGACCCCCTCCCCCCAGGGCCTTTCTCTCCTAGTGTGTGACTGGGATTCCCCACTGCAGAGTGGAAGGGAACCCCCACCTGCCAGCCTACTGTGGGTTGGGGAGCTTGCTCTGTGCTCTTCTCTGTGCTTCTTCCTCCCCCCCAACCCCCACAGACAAAAGGAGGGATGGAGGCCCAGAGAGGGTTAGCTTTTAGCCAAGGTCACCCAGCAGGGCAAGGCAGAGCTGGGTTTGTGACTAGTTTACTAACCCCAGAACCCAGCTGCCTTGTCAGTCTTAGGATCCTCTGCTCCCTGTGTTTAACTGTGAGAGTGGGTGTGAGGCCCCTGTTTGGGCCCTGAAACCCGGGAGGGGGTATTGGGGTTCCTCACTCCTAGTCTCTCTACCCTGCTGCAAGTCTAGCTGGACTTAGGGGAGAAGCCCCAGCTTGGCTTCCTCCTCTGAGCTCCCAGGTCTCTCGTCCCCTCTCCCTCCATCGTCTAAGGAAATCCCCTACTTGGGGGGGGGGGCGGGGGTCTTCCTGATGGGTGAGCCAGAGCCTTGTCGTGAGCATGAGCGAGTAGAATGAGATCTCCGCTCTACTGCATGCCCCCTCTGGCTGACCTTGGAATCCCCAGCTTCAAGACCCCCCTAACCGGGAAAAGCAGTCGCTGAGTCCTGCCACTGGCCTCACCCAGAGACCCCCGGCAAAGGAAAGGGCTACTGAGGCTCAGACATTCAAGGACAGGTTTCCCTCTCAGTCACACTCTGGGGTCTGGCTGTATTCCCAGACCCCAGAGGACCTGTGTGCCCTGTACCACCATCCTCCAGGGCAGAACCTCGGCACTCTGCTCATATGGAGACGCTACAGCCCTGTGTAGTCGGAGTGAGCCAAGAGGGAGCTGGAGCCCCAGCACAGCAGCTGCAGATTTGGGAGAGGATTTGGGGGCAACCACAGCAGGGATTCCTCCTCCTCCTCAGGCCAGTCCATCCCAACCTCACCCTTCCAGATCTCCCCATGGTGAAGGAAATCAGAGCGACACAGGGGAGGACAGGAAGCAGGTGGGAAAGGCAGTGTCCAGTGTAGAAGTTAGGGTCTCTGGGGAGAGGACCTGGTATGGGGGCAAGGTGCCAACAAGGATTTACCTGAGGGAGGAAACAGCTCTCCTGAACAAACCACACCCCTTATCTTTAAAACTTGTGAGGTGACCCAGCTTGTCAGAACTCAAATGTGTTCTAAAGGCCGTTGCAATCTGAGATCGATGCAGACCATCACCCTCTGGGGCCCTGCCTCCAGCCACACCCCATCTGTGTCCCCTTACAGGTCCAGGGATAAAAGAAAAGTGGCCACCTCCTCTCTTTGGGCAAGTGGTAACCCAGGGGAACCAAAAGGGACCAGCGCCTTGGAGGTGGCTCGTCCGGAAGACCCCTGCACTCCAGGGTGAGTGAATCCTAGGTCAGCGCACCTTTGGGGTAAAAGTGGAGAGGGAGGGGGAACAGAAAAACTGGTGACTTAAGGGAAAAGCCAGTGTTTGAAGGCACCAACAATAAGTACTCAGTGCTTAGGAACAGATATAATGATATATGATATTAATGAAACAATAACAATGACTGTGTTTTCTAGAGCCCCCTCCCCCCAGGGTCATTGCCACTTTCTCTAATCACTGGTGGTGACGAGCCAGCTCAGAAAGGCTAAGTGGCACACAGTGTCGCCCACCCTGAAGAGGGGAGTAGAGCCACCCGGAGGAAGGAATAACCGGGACCTCTATAGTCTCCACCAGCCTGCCTCCCCTGACCCCGGGGCTTCACTCTGGGGGGCTGGTCCTCGGGGACTGTTCTGGCACAGACAGCCCCCCTCACACCTTTTTTCCCTGCAAGCATTGACTAATATCCTGGTGTGGGCAGTAAACTGCCAAAGGGGTGTGGAAAGGACCAAGGGGCTCATCCCACAGCTATTTTGTCAGTCAGTAAATACTGAATAGCTGCTAGTTGCCAGGTTCTCAGCTGGGTTCTGTGGACACTTTAGGGAAGAGGCAGGTTCAGATCAGCTCTTGGTGGGGGGGAATCAAACACCGAGGTGGATTTGACAATGAGTTGGGAGGAGAGGGATGGGCTGCCATAGGTGGCGGAGTGGCCTCTCCAGGAAGGTGACTGGGAGCTGGGAACAAGGAGGCAGCCAAGCAAGCACTGGGAGGACAGTGTGCCCTGCAGAGGGAATAGCATCTACCAGGGGCATGTCTGAGGACCCGTGAGGAGGCCAGCGTGACCAGACAGAGTGATCAAGGGGCAAGAGCAGGAAGGTCTCTGGCCAGGGACTAAAACTCAGCACGAGGACCTCGGGAGGAGGTGAGGGGGTGGGCTGCAAAGCAGTGGGGAGCCATTAGGGTGCGTGAGCAGGATAGACATGGGATCTGATTATGATTTTCAGAAGCCCCTGTGGTTGCCAAGGAGAACAGGGACTGTCAGTCTGGAGAGGAAGTGGCAGACGGCCAATTCAGAAGCCAGAGAGGCTAGGCATCGTCAGCTGGGTGGGGACCAGGCCTGGGGCTCGGGCATGCAGATAAGTGGGCACACTCTGGGGTTGAGCTGGACTTGGAGGATGGATTACTGGGGCAGGTTTCTGTCCGAGAGAAGGAGGGATCCTCTGTGTCAGGAGAAAGCCGGCACTGCCTCCTGGAGGAGGAGACTTTGCACTTGGAGCTGCATTTAGAAGGACAAATAGAAGTTTGTCAGTGGGCATGGTGAAGTGTCGCAGAGTTAACTGTCCGAGATGCTGTGAGTGCTCCAGGTACCCACCATCCCCCAGGGTCTAATTTTAACAAGGAGGTGATGCGGGGAGGCGGGCTCAGAATGAGACTGGTAGAGACTGGACTGGAACCAGTGACCAGGAAGGCACTTCTAGAATGGCCCAGCTGTGTGCCAGCCCAGTTGAGGGGAATTAGCCCCCTAACCCCATGCTGCCTCTCAGAGGGGCTTCATCACCTTCATCACCCTGATGATGAGACGGAGACTCAGGGGTACAGTCCCTTCCTGGGAGCTCCGGCTGAGTGTCCCTGGGCAACCATAACAAATAATCACAACCTGGTGCTTAGAACAACAGGAATTTATTCTCTTGTGGTTCTGGAGGCCAAAAATCTGAAACCCAGATATTAGTGGGGCCACCCTCCCACTGGCGTTGCTGGGGAAGATCCTTCCTGCCTCTTCCAACTTCCAGGGGGCTAACAGCGGGTGACCTCAGTTTTCGGCCCCAGCCTTCCCATCTCTGCCTCCATCTCTACATGTCCTTCTGTGTGTCTGTATTTTCATCCAGCCTTCTTGTAAGGACACCAGTCATTGGATTAAGGCCACCCTAACTCAATATAGCCTCATCTTAATTTAACTACATTTGCAAAGGCCATCTATCCAAATATGGCCACATTCTGAGGTCCTGAATGGACTGGAATGCTGGAGGGATTCTCCCAAGCCTGTAGCCACACATAGGACACCTGCTGTGATTTGGCGTCCAGACTCTGTCCCCAGGATTTGTGCTGAGGCAGAGGCTGCAGGGAAAGGTGGGATGGAGAGAGGGGTTGCCTGGAGTAAATTTAGGGGTGAGGATGGACTGGATGTCGGGTTGCTGGGGAGAATTGAGGGATGCTGGTGTCCGGGACAAGCATGGCACTGTCAGCAGAATGGAGAAAACAGTCGAAGGTGGGTTCCCTTTGCATGTGGTGGTGGTGGAGGGGGGCTCCACAAAATCGCAGATGCGTTTCAGTTTTTACAAGTCTCCTCCCTTGCCTGCCTGTCTCTCCAGGCTCCCACTTCCTCCAGGCCAAGGGCTCAGAGAACTGTCCATGGTGAGGGCCTGGGGGTTCTAGATGTAGCCCCTCTGCACCCTCTGTGGATCCTCTGCGCAGGTCTATTGCATTTATGTACCAACTCAAGAGTTTCTCCTTGCCCACTGTCCTGAAGTGTGAGCACAGGGGATTTTGCATATCTTCCTTGCTGACACATGAATGCAGCGTCTCCTGGCCCCTGAATCTGGGAGAGCCCAGCACCAAGCCCTCTGAGACACCTGCTCCAGCTCCCCTAGTCTTTCTGCTCCCCTTTCTATCCCGTCCACCAATTCATAGCACCCTAGGAAGAACACTCCTGCTTTGCTCAGAATACACACACATACATACACACACTGCACTGGGGGGACCCCGGTCCGCCTCTGACTTGCTGGCTAGTCCACCCTCCTCCTGGAGCACAGCCTGAGTGAGGCCCAGGAGCACACCTCAGGCCTGCCGAGTACTTCCTCCTCCCTGCTCTCCCAGCACCTGCCCCTTGGGCCCTTTAGACTATCCCCTCTTCCAGGAGGCCTCCTCCTTTCACCACCCCAAAGTCGCCTCGTCCCTAATCCTACTTTTCGTGAATTCCTTGGATCTTTTTCCAGTGCTTTTATCTATAATTCTTGCTGTTTTCATCCCTTGATCCCCACTCTAGAAGATCAGCGTCAGACTCAGAGAAGAGGCTTGGCAGATATGTGGGTGGGTGGATGGATGGATGGGTAGGTGGGTGCATCAGTGGCTGGGTGGCTGGGTGAATGAGTGAATAGGTGAAAGGGTGGGTGAATGAATGGCTATATGCCCCACGCTGACATCCCCACACTCTTGGGGCAAGGGTTCAGCCTCTGTTCAGGCAGCCATCTTTTAAACCCAGGAGAGGAGCGCCCACCCCTCTCCTTATGGGAGTGCCTCTCCTTAAGGGCACTCCTTATGGGTCTTTCATTTCCTATGAGGTTCTCCCAGACCTTCTGCACCCAGATGTTTGGCCACTGACCCAGGACTTAGGGCTTCCTACCCAGTAGACATTCCTTTGGCCGCTAGGTGTGCTAGGCCATTTCTAGGGGGTGAGGGCGGGGCATGGCTCCCCAGGGACATCCCAGCAATAAGTTCATTTGCAGATTTCCAGGTCCCTTCCTGCCATCTGTGGGCTAATGGGAAGCTCTGTCTGGAAGGGAGCCTCAGTAGTCCCCACCAAGAGGCCCAACATTGCCAGCTTTACTCTGAGGGAGGAGGTTCAAGTAGGCTGCAGGGCAGACATCGGGAGGGGGACATCAGTCCCCAGGTTGACCATCCTATGTTTGGCCCCCTTGAAAGGAGCCCCTGATCCCTCAGGGAAGATGAGAGCAAAGGGGAAGGAGAGGTCGTTGCAGAGGAAGAAGCTGTGAGCAGGGCTTGTGCGGCCTGTGCAGGGCAAGGGGCCTGCTGCTAGGGAGCTGTAGCCCTTGTTTTTTATGAATTTTGGGACATTTACATGTTGGACTTGAATTCAGAAAGTGTCAGATGCTGCAGGGGCCCCACAGCAAACTGCGCAGGCCAGGGTCAACTCATGGGCATGGTTGGCTGCTTCTCATGGTTCAGGGACCACTGTGGGGGCAGACTAGGGTGTCGGGGGGCCAGGCATTGAATGTAGGACAGGAATGTGAGTGGGTCCATCAATGTAGCACGTTAGAAAAAGCTCCTAGTTGTCCATGCAGTGGCTTGGAGGTGGGACCCAGGCTAAGGGGAGACTGGGTAGCAGGGACTGAGGAAAAGTTGAGAAAGCATGAGGGGAGACTAGGGGCCCCAGAGGAACTTGGGGGAAGCTGGAGTGGGCTAAGTCAGGCTGGGGACTGAGGGGGAGCTGGGGGCCAAGAGAAGAGTGGGGGGGGAAGGGGAGGCTGGGGGTGAAGGGAGACTGTGGGGTCAAGTAGGGGCCCAAGGGAAGACAGAGGAGTCTTAGGGGATCTTAGGAGGGCCTGTGAGTGGCTGGGGATGTGCAGGGGAGAGGGCTGCTCCTTGTGCACGGCTGAGCATGCATCCCTTTAGAGCCTCCACAACCCCACTCAAGCTGCCCCGTGGACATGACTGGGCATGGACCATGCCCAGGCCCCCACTTGCGAACCATCACAGCTCTGGGCACTGTTACTATGACCAATCCATCCTGACAGTTTGGGATGAGAAGGAACAGAAATCCTGTCCACTGACGCTGGCCCATCACCTGGCCCTGCTGAGCATCCCCACCACCAGCTCATGGGGTCACCTCTGCCCAAGCAGCCATCCAGTTCATTGGTTCATTCAGTCCAGTTTCTGGGCACTGCAGAGGAAACAAAACAGATCAGCTGCCCTCAGGCAGTGCCGAGCAGTCACATGTTCCTGACCCTGTCCAGAAGAAAACAAATGGGGGGGCTGGGAGAAAAATGGGAGAGCTTTTGTCCCCAGGAACCCCCAGGCTGGGGCTCAGTGGTCCCCAGTTGAGTGAGAACAGGGTGAGGCTCTCTGGGAGCAGGAAGAAAGTGCTCCCTACCTTCAGTTCCCCTTGGCTGGGAAGCACCATTAATACTGAATGAATGAGTTACCCAAGGAGCTCTCCGTATCAGTGGGGAAAGGGCCAGGGCTTGGGGGACTCCCCAAACAGGCTTCTGCAGTTCTACCATACAGAGTCCAGTTGGGGGTTAAGACTGGGGGTGGGGGAGGTGGAGGACTGAGTCCCCAAGAAGTATCCTCAAGAAGCACTCACCACCTCCTTCCAGAAAGCCCCTCCTGCGGGCTCCAGGGTACCCTCACTTGGTACCATCTTCCTTCCGCTACCCCAAGGCTCTCCCCGCACGCACGGAGCAAAGTCTGAGGAGGTCATTAAAGGAGGGAAGTGTCCAGTCGCTTTGCAAAGTTATCCCCTTACTAAGTGTGGTGGAGCAGCCGGCCCCCAAGTGTGAAAAGACTGGATTGTGGGGACCCGATTTGGGGAAAAGGGTATCTAGGAGGTGCCAAGGACTGTAGGGGTCCAGAGTTACCGCTTCGCCGCGCGGGGCGAGAGGCGAGTTCGTGGGCTAGAGACGCTTTGGGGGGCGACCAGGATTGAGGGATCTTTAAGTGGAGGCGGGGCTTGCGGGGTCGTTGGGGGCGGTGCCAAGGCAGGTTCGGCCAATCGGCGGCGCCGCCCGCGTCGC